ATGACAATGCAAAGATACTTCAATAAAAAAATTTCAGTAAAATAGTGATGTCCTCCAATTTAAATATAACCCCTCTACCATTGTGAATTTCCCAGGGAGAAAAAGCTGAAAGATTAGATTCTCTTGTATGCTCGAATTAAAGACTTTAGAATCTGAAACTCATCCTTCTGATGCTGTTCATTCTGAACCAGATGGGTTCTTCATGCCTTGGATAGCACTGTAGCTCTTTCAGCAACCTGGACAGGGTCTCACTAGAACCACTGGTGTGGCTTTTTTCAGAATCTTAAAAGTTTAATTATACACCAAGTTTCTGATATACCTCAGTTTTTAAGGACTTTTTTTTAAAAAAAGATTTATTTATTTATTTGAGAGAGAGTGCAAGCTGGGGGAGGGGGTTGAGGGGTGAGGGAGAGAGAGAGAATCTCAAGCAGACTCTGTGCTGAGCGTGGACCCTGACTTGGGGCTTGATCTCATAACCCTGAGATCATGACCTGAGTGGAAACTAAGAGTTGGATGCTTAACAGACTGTGCCACCTAGGCGCCCCTGGTATACCTCACTTTTTAAAGAGTATCATCAAAACACTTAACACCAAACTCGATTGGGATTCTCCCAGATACTTAACCAACTGAGCCACCCAGGCACCCCCGTGTAAAACTTTTAATAACTTTTTTAATTAAAAAATTTTTTTTAAAGATTTATTTATTTGACACACAGAGAGAGAGGGCACAAGCAGGGGGAATGGCAGGCAGAGGGAGAGAAGCAGACTCCCTGCTGAGCAAGGAACCTGATGTGGGACTCGATCCCAGGACCCCAGGATCATGACCCGAGCTGAAGGCAGCCGCTTGCCTGAGCCACCCATACGCCCCAATATCAAATAACTTCATATATTTTTTCTCATATTAATCTCTCTTTTGTCAGTTTATTTTGCAGAACTAGCTGAAGAACCTTAGAGGGCAGAGGTGAATCTTTTGCCCTTGTAAGATATTTGCATTCTTGCAAAGTTTAGAAATCTCCAGTGATGGCAAGCCCAATCATGAGTCTGCTTTGAGAGGTCTTTCTTTTCCATCTCGAATCTTAAAGACCGTTTTACTTTTCCTTTCCCCTTTGAGCCTTATGTCTACAATATCCCCTGCCTGATCTGTGGGGATCTAGGCTCTAAATAACCACACGGTTTCCACATTGGCTCCTGCTGTTGGTCTTTGTTGTGGAATGACATGCCTGTAAAGCCTGTCTTGTAAGGGTAGCCTCTCTTTTGCTCCCTTGTTTCTTTTTTTAAAAAGATTTTATTTATTTGACACAGAGAGACATAGCGAGAGAACACAAGCAGGGAGAACGGGAGAGGGAGAAGCAGGCTTCCCGAGGAGCAGGGAGCCCGATGTGGGGCTCGATCTCAGGATCCTGGGATCGTGACCTGAGCTGAAGGCAGACGCTTAACGACTGAGCCACCCAGGTGCCCCAGTCCCTCGTTTTTTTTCAACCAGAAAACATCCTCGCAGATTCCTGAACTAAAGCTGCTATGGACATTTCTGCAGCTGAATCTCTAGGTTCAGCTATGAATAACAAAACCCCCAAAATAACAGTGGAAAGGTAGATATTTATTCCACTCACATAAACATCTAGGTCAGCGTTTGAGGGCTGGTGTTATCCATATTCCTTTGACACTGATGCCCCGTCATGCTTGGTTTGATCTCCCTGTCCCATATGCAGATATCTTCGGCAACAGGAGCAGGAAGGGGTGAAAGGAAAGCCAGAGAATGCTGTGTCTAGTATCTTAAGAAAGACTCTTAGAAGCTGTCACACTTGACTCTTCTGTTTACATCTCATTTACCACAATGTAAACACACAAGTATCCTGAGCTGCAAGAGAAGCTAGGAAGTGTAGTCTTCATTCCAGGCTGCCGTATACCCAACTAAACTTATTTAAGAGAGGGAGAATTAATACTGGGGGCAACTGGACTACCAGATTAATTGCACTGGTGAGGACAGATACCTCTGTGGAGCCCTCCTCAGCACTCCACTTTCCCTTGCTTTTGATTGCTCCAGGCTTCCAGGAGTATTTCCTTCCACTCTGCCTTTGTCAGCAATAGTGGCTATGTCCTCCGGCTTGACTTCCCCTCTATACTTTTCAAGGTGAACAGCTGGATTTGTCACAGTTTAACTTACCTCCTAGTAAGTTAAATTTCCCTAATAAAGGCCTAGTATTTGTAGAATCTGATGCCCCCTTTTCTTTCCTTTTTTTTTTTTTTTTTATCTTTTTCTTCTTTCTGGCCTAGACATGTACTTACCTGACATTCTCTTCTAGATTTTGTCTAATGGGGTCTTCTGTTTTGAGAGAAAAATCACTAGGTCTGCACGGCCAAAAGCAACCATTGTTCAAAAAAAAAAAACAACCTTGGCCACTCTCACCTTTCTGAGTTAGATAATCAGCATGCATTTTGTGATTAGGCCAACAGCCAATCTGGGCTTGGATTCCATTTATCACTGTCCTGATTGGCTGTTATGTTTCATCTTTCTGGTTGCCTTCATTTAGTCTAAAATTTCAAAATTTCTCAGCCTGTTCCCTCTGGGCATAGACAGCACTTGTATTCCTATTTACAATTTCAGTGACATCTGGGAACCCATTCAATAATCCCTTGAATAGTGTACTTCCGTCTGACTGATCCTCCCCTTTTGAATTGTCCAACCTTTCAGGGTACACTTGGCATCAGTGTCCCAATCTTTAAGGAGGAATTCCCAACAGTTCTTGGCAAGTAGTCTCTATTCTCTGTGTAGCTCTAAGAGAGTACTTTGCCAGTAGTGGTTTATATTCTTGCTCCCTCTGAGAGTCAGCACAGTCGGCTGTGATTTTGCTTCTATTCTTGTTTGATTTTTTGGGGGACCAAGTTATTATTTCTGAGCTAAAAAAAAAAACAAAAAAACCCAAACCTCCAAAACATCTACTCATTTTAAAAATAACCTCTTATATGAATTAAACCTAAGTACATCATCTTTTCCCTTTTATCTGTCCTTCAATTTCATTTTTCCTTTTATATCCATCTGATCTGTTCTCTAAGATCTCAACTTTATCTCCAGAAACTTTCTCCAAAAAAAATTTCTCCTTCACAAGCTTAATTATTCTTAATTTTGTTCTCATTCTTTCATTGCTCCTGTTCTAAAACTGAAGCACATTCTAGAAACACTCTACACATTCCCTGATTTCCTGAACAAATCTGATTCTTAGACACACAAGGTTCTAGGCACAGGACTAACTGCCTTCTTTAGATCTTCCAGTTTAAAACAATTTAACTCAATTGTGTCTTTAACTTAGGCATTTTCCATTATAATAAGGGCTTCTATTTCTTTGCCCTTTTTTTTTTTTAAGATTTATTTATTTTGGGGGGGGGAGCGGGCAGAGGGAGAGTCCAAGCAGACGCCCCAGACTCCCCACTGAGCACAGAGCCTGAAGTGGGGTTCTATCTCAGGACCCTGAGATCATGACCTGAGTCAAAACCAAGAGTCACTCAACCAATTGAGCTACCCAGGAGCCCCTTTTCTCTCTTTTTTTTAAGATTTTATTTATTGATTTGAGATGGAGAGAGAGCACAGAGGGAGAGTGAGAGGGAGCACCAGACTCACTGCTGGGCAGAGAGCCCAATGTGGGGCAAGATCCCAGTATCCTGGGATCATGACCTGAGCTGAAGGTAGCTGCCCAACCGACTGAGCCACCCAGGTGTCCCATGGGATCTGATTTAAACAAACCAACTGTAAAGGCATTTTAGACTTAACAGAAAGGTTGCTGTAGTACAAAGAATTGCTATATAACCTTCACCTAGATTCCCCAAATGTTAACAACCTATCACATTCACTTTAGCACTTTTCTGTCTACATATTCACATTTGTTTTTTGAGTAAGTTGCAACCAAAAATGCTCCTTTACCTGTAAGTTTCACCGTGTATTATCTAAAGACATGGACGTTCTCCTACATAATCACAGTACAATTATCAAAATCTGGAAATTAACACCAATTAACATTAGCTTAACCTTATTAAAAGTGTGCCATTTGTCCCACTAGATCTTTTATAGCAAAAGAAAATTTTTTCTTGGTCCAGAATCCAATCCATGATTACATGTAGTATTATCTCTGAAGTTTTCTTTAATCTAGAAGAGTATTTCAGTCTTTGTTTTTCATGATCTTGACTTTTGAAGAATAAAGGCCAATTATTTGGTAGACTGTCCCTCAATTTGGGTTTGATTAATGTTTGTTATATTCATGTTACGCATTTTTGGGAGGAATCCTTAAGCATATTTTGTCATGCTCAGTGCATCTAATTGGGAAGTATACAGTATTTGACCTGTAACTGATAGTACTGTAAAAGGACATTCTGAGACAGTGAGGGAAAATTGAAAACATAGGATATTAAGAAGGTATTGTTAATTTTGTTAGATGTCATAATGGTTTTGTGTTTATATTTTTTAAAAATGGTATTGATCTGCTAATGATATATACATTGTAGAAGACAAGAGGCTTGATGCCCATTTTAGGGAGTTTGGAGTTACTCTAGGCAGAAAGCAGTAATGATAATATAGTCAGATCTGGACTTTTCTAAAATTGTTTCTGATTTATGCATTCTCCAGGTCTTTGACCATTTTTCCTTTCTTTTGTGGCTCCTTTTTTGGTCACTACATTTAAAGTTTACCCAGTGTAGTCAAATTTTGTGACTTGGGGGGAGGAAGTTGAAATTACTGGCGAAACTAACTTTATAATAATATAACAATTATAAATAATTTGAACACTTCATTTCTTTGTGATTTACATGTCCTCCTTATTAAAAAAATTTTTTTTTTAGTAATCTCTTCACCTAATGTGGGGCTCAAACTCATAACCCCGAGATCAAGAGTCACATGCTCTCCCATTTGAGCCAGCCAGGTGCCCCACATGTCTTCCTTATTACAGATAATCGAGTCTAATGAAATGAGATCATTTATAATGATTACATAGTAAAACTTAGAGCCAAAAATACAAAAAGTCCTCATTTTATTTTTTGCAAAGTACTTTTTAAAAATTTTATTTCACCAAGGACTAATCCTTTGCTGCTGTTCAAATTTAAACTATTTTTCTGAGTTTGTTTCAGAAGAGAAAAACATGAAAAGTTGCTTCTGTGGCATTTTCTTCTAGTTTTTCAAGCCCTCTTGTAGTAGCAACTGGTTCAAAATACTGCTTTGTTTCAAAGCATGCAGTTTAGATGTATCTTCACTGATGATGGTAATATTTCCATTTTGTTCCTGAGCTGTCAGGTCACTTTCACTGTCAGACAGTGTACACAGTAGAGTGTCATTTTCATAGGTTGGAAAATAATACCTGAAAAGAACCACAGATATACTGAACAACCAAACTATAAATTATCCAGTAAAGTTTCTAGGCAGTTGAACATACACTTTACTATAATTCTGCTAGGTTTCCTTGACAACAATTTCAACAGCATTTTGCAAAGGTGGTATGGGAGACAACTTCTGAATTACTTTTACTTTGACCTTTACTGGCTGATATCAGTCTTACCAGTATCCTTGCTAGCTGCCCATTCAGCCTGTGCTTGATAGTCCCACAAAAACTCACTATCTCAAAAGGCAGCTTACTCTAGTACTGGACAGCTCTAGTTGGTAGATACAGTGTCATGGATGAAGCTAAAAATGACATCCCCTTCATTTCTACTCAAAGGTCCCAGTTCTTCCCTACAGATTACCAAAACTCAAATATGGCTACTTTTTCATACATGAATCCTTTAAATATCTGATGAAAACATTGTTTCCCTTGAATGTGCGTGTGTTCTTCCCAACTTAATCACTACTGGTTCTTTCATTCTAGGTGATCAAAAATTAAAACATCTATAGAATTTTAAGTCTATTATTCAGGTTCCTTTTCTGGACACACTTAGGAGTTAGTTCTGGAGTATCTCTAAAGATTTCACTTTATTTAAGAATTACAGGAACAGGGTCTCAGGCAATCCAGGACCGACTTTGCCTCTCACAAATCTGGGATTTTATTTCTTTCTTTCTTTTTTTAAAAGGTTTTATTTATTTATTTTAGAGAGAAAGAGAGAGGGAGACAGAGAGAGCAAGTGAGTGTGAGCAGGCGGAGGAGCAGAGGGAGAATCTCAAGTAGATTTCGTGCTGAGTGTGGAACCTGATGTGGGGCTTGATCTCATGACCCTATATGATCATGACCTGAGCCGAAACCAAGAGTTGGGACACTTAACCGACTGAACCACCCAGGTGCCCTGAAATCTGGGATTTTCTAGAGGAAAATCTAGAGCTTTGGGGCTAGTGTTGGGGAAGAGTTGGGGTGGGGGGGCAGTGAGGAGGCTTATTTAACATTTCCTAAGAAGAGAGGAACCTCTAGGCAGCTAGAACTCTATAACCTCTCAGAAGTTCTCTCAGCTGAGGTTGTCCAGAGTACTATGAGAACCAGCCCAGATGGCTGAACTGGCAAAGGAGTCTGATACCACCTCCATAGTATGGATCAGTGGACCAATTGCTTAACATTTTTAAAGTGCTGAGATGAAAAATATATACCAAAAACCCTAATAGTTGTGTACTCTTTGACAGAGTAATTTTATTTCTAGGAGTTTATCTAAAAGAAAAATTGGGTAAGTGTGCAACAATGCAGGCATATGGATGGATACTCATTGTATTACTATTTAAAAGAGCAAAATGCAAGAAACAACCTCAATATCTAGCAAATTAGGGTATATCTATTGAATGGGATATTTGACAACCATTAAAAATGATGCAATCGGTATGTATTAGATATAGAAACATGCTTACAATATTCTGTTAACAAAATATAATGGAAAAATCTATACTTCTATATCTACATCTTTATCTTCATACCACAAAATCTGGTTGCACTTATAAAAGGGGGATTCCTTTAAAAATAAGGCTTTTGAAGATTTTTACTTTTTTCTATACACGTTTCTCTTTTATTTCGGTTTAGAGAAATGAATAAAAACAAGTAAGGGATATGGAGCTAAGAAGTATATGTTTGGTTGAGTAGTACTCACTCTGGTTGATCCCATGTCTTTCTTTCAGGAAGCAGTGATGTATGTTTAGCTTCTTCCATATGAGTCCTTAACTCTGCTTTGGATTTGAATTTCACATGGCAGCCATAACATCTACATTGGTGAATTTGCCTCCGAATGAAATTGACCAGTTTCACTTGTTGGTAGAAATTTAATCCTGAAAATGACAGTTTATACAATCATTAGACAACTGGTCAGACCCATTTTTGTACTGTTATAATTTTTTATTTTTTATTTTTTTATTTTTATTTTTTTTACTGTTATAATTTTTTAAAAGAACCATGTCTCCTTTTTCTCTTAATTTTTTTTTTAAAGATTTTATTTATTTATTTGACAAAGAGAGACAGAGAGAGCAGGAACACAAGCAGGGGGAGTGGGAGAGGGAGAAGCAGGCTTCCCCCTGAGCAGGGAGCCCGATGTGGGACTCAATCCCAGGACCCTGGGATCATGACCTGAGCTGAAGGCAGACGCTTAACGACTGAGCCACCCAGGCGCCCCATGTCTCCTTTTTTAAAAAAATATTTTATTTATTTTCTTTGAAAGAGGGAGAGAGAGTGAGTACGAGCAGGGGGAGGGGCACATGGACAAGCAGAGTCTGCACTGAGCATGAAGCCCGAGGTGGGGCTCGATGCCAGGACCCTGAGATCATGACCTGAGCCGAAGTCAAATGCTTAACCGATGTCAACTGAAGTCAAATGCTGAACCACCCAAGTGCCCAAGCCACTTCTCTTTATTAACCAGCCTGAAGAGGCAGTATAATTATAAAGAATAATAGATACCAAACAATAACAGCCGATACTTATATAGGGCTTATGTGCTAGGCACTGTTCTAATCAGTTTCCATGCATTAATATGTTCAATTCTTGCAAAACTCTACCACATAGGTAGTATTATCATATCCACATTATCTATTAGGAAACTGTCCAAGGTTGCATAGCTAGTGGTAGAGCCAACATTTGATATATATACATGTTTGTAAGAATAGCAAAGTAAAGCAACACATTCCAGAGTCTAGGAAAGTAGTAAGCTGAGGTGTGGGAAGTGAGCTTTCTGTCTTTGATCCATTAGCAAGTCAGTAATTTACATCTTCATGTCCCTAATCTTTCCATCATACTGATACTGAGAATGATGCAATTGGGTCCATCTGTGATAAATAATCTAGCTACACTGCCAAGCAGTACAGTAGGTATTTTATATACATTATCTACTCCCTTCACATTCTGTTGACCCGAGGCCTTATGTCACACAGCCATTAAGTGCTGGAGCTGGAATATGAACTCTAGTCTGACTTCAAAATCCATGGTCTTTCCATTAGCTCCCTCCACTTTATTTATAATAGATACTAACCATTAACTTGTATTTTATTTGAAGCATTCATATATGTAGGAAAGAAGAAAGACCATATGAAATAAAAAACCGTATTTGAATATTACAGTTCAAAATGGTTGTGAATCATTGCTTCAGGCAATCCCGTGAGACCATCTGTGGAGAGACACATTTTGGCTGTGCATTCTCTCATCACGACTACTGAACACAGGCATCACTTACAGGATGGTGTATAAAAACGCAGCATCATGGAAAACAACTTCTGAATCAAACTCACCAAGTTCTGACTTTATTTTAAGGAGATCAAACTCGTGAGCATCCTAAAAAAAGGAATGAATATCTGTGAGCATATAAATTGTTTAATCTTTTAGGCTGAAGTTATAAACAGACGGCTTATTCATAGGAGTTTGAACACTGTTGAAACTCAGTCTCAGTTCATCATGTTCTGCTTTTGAAGTATTCGAAATATAACTGCTTCCCCCCACCACATCCAACTACTTTTTAAAGCACAGTCCAAACAAGTCATGCCAATCAGTTAAAACATTTTAATTATTCACAGTTTGTATCTACAGTTTTCACAATTTACTATGTATGCATTCTGCAGTCTGACAAAAGTGTCCTCAGTCTCTAGTAAGATGTGGCCCTACTTACTATATTGTGTGCCTGGACTAGAATTATGGATATAGGTCCTTTGCTACACAAGCAGATAGGTAATTTTACAAATCTGCTTTTCATTTTATGCTGTTAAATACGCTGTTTAATGCAAATTTCTCTTCACTGACATCTTCCCATAAATTACATTTCTTTTGATTTTTACAATGCAGAATAGTTTCACTCGTGCAATCGTCCATCTGGGTAAATGTTTGAACTTAAAAGCTTACAGAGAATGAAGACCACCTAACTCCCTATGAAGGCATTCAGTGTAACATCAGAGGCACGATAATTAGGAATTCCATGTACTTTATGACTGAAAGTGACTGAGCAGAGGCTGAGGACACAGGTCAAGGATGTTGCAAAGGAAATTCCTACACAGGGTAGGGGTATTAAGACTCCTTTCAATTCAAAGATATTAAGATATTATGAATTAAAGTTAAACACTGGAAACTATACACATATACTATTAGCAACCTGTTCCAGAGAAAACGACTCTGCTTTCATAGGGGTAAATGCTCATGGCCTTCTAGTTTCCTTTTTTTAAAAAATTATTTATTTTTTATTTAATTTTTTTTAAAGATTTTATTTATTTATTTGACAGTGAGAGACACAGCGAGAAAGGGAACACAAGCAGGCGGAGTAGGAGAGAGAGATGCAGGCTTCCCGCCGAGCAGGGAGCTCAATGTGGGGCTCGATACCAGGACCCTGGGATCATGACCTGAGCCGAAGGCAGACGTGTAACGACTGAGCCACCCAGGCGCCCCTAGTTTCTTCTTTTTAACGGAACTAAGAACAGTGTTTCTGAATGTGAGTGGGGAGAAGGTGGGTGAAACAGGATAGTCTGCGTCACTGTTGGCAGAGATGGCTGGGGGAGGGTAGGGAGAGCACATCGGAATCATCCCATAATATTTTTTTTTATTATAATCACCCCTCTACCCCAAGCTGCGATACTGTCATGACTCATTAGATGTTCTCCTCCTCACCCCCACTGTCCAGCCGAGGATCAGAGATGTTGGAAGTGTGTCATCTCTCTGATATACCGGGGTGAAAAAAAGGTTTAGAACTACTAGCTTCAAGCTTCATTATAACATAAAAATGGCATCCAGAAGGGAATACATGAACTGGAAATACCCTCAAATTTCTTCCCTCCAAATCCAAACGGTAGGAGCTGCACAAGCACACCCCATACCCTCTCTGCCTCTACAACCCCCATGTCCCCCTGCCCCATTTCCCTCAAGGGCTTGGTGAAGGGAACTTTCCCCTTTCCGCTTTCCTTATTCACTAGCACAGGAAGCAGTGAAAAAAGACTCAGAACCTGTCCATGTCTTGAGTACTGTTAATCATGGTTACAGGCCCCACATTCTAAACTAGAATTATCTCATAAATATCTCAGAGGTAGGATGGCATCAGTGGTCTCTGAAATCCCACCCTAACAGTTTGCACAGATCCTTTGCCTTGTACTAAATTGCCCTGAGTTCTGGTTCTCCTTGATGGATCTGCCTGTCTCTTCTTTTTTTGCCTAAAGCACGTTCTTTTCAATAAAAGATTTATTTATTTATTTATGTGAGAGAGAGAGAGAGAGAGAGAGAGAGAGAGAGGGTGCGAGTGAGCACAGGAGGAGGGGCAGAGGGAGAGAATCTTTCAAGCAGACTCCATGCTGAGTGTGGAGCCCAACGTGGGGCTCGATCTCACAACCCTGAGTTCATGACATGAGCTGAAACCAAGAGTTGGATGCTTAACCAACTGAGCCACCCAAGTGCCCTGCTTACAGCACTTTTAGGAATAGGATAATGACAAATTAAATTTATAAGCTTATAAGATTGCAATCATGATCAGCTTCCCCCTGTCAGAACAAAACAAAACTCAAAAGAATTAAAATATCTCACCTCCATGTGGACACATAATTTCTCAATTGTTTCTGCTTGTTTTTCACAAAACAGACAGACAGCAGAGTCAGGGCGTTCTTCCCAATCAGACCAGTCACTGTGTTAAAAAGCAAACAGCAAATAAAGAGATTCTCCTCATTAAGAGGGTGTACTACGCAGTCACTTGGTATTACTTCCTCCTCCCTGGGAAACCCTGCCAATCTCTTTCAACTCTGACATCTTTGTAAAGATTGTCACATCATATTATGACTTTTTGATACAGCTTTTGAAATTCAAAGCAGCACCATGAAATTAATATAAATAGCGAACAGGTGTTGCTCTATTTTCTTCTATTTGCTTCTCTTCTGAGCAGCTATTTTACTACAGAATCAGTATAATGTCTTTCTGACACAACTAGGTTTCCTTTGCAAAGGAGGCGTATCAGTAGATGCTTTCTCATTAGCCATAACCACTAAGTACACATGCTGTGAGGTGCGATGTTGGGAGTGTGTCTCTGCATGACAAATTGGTGTGTTTTAAAAAGGCAAACCATATATCTTTCATTGAGAAACACTGATCATTTAAACGGGGCAAGTGTTAAATCTGGCAGTAAACAGAGAAGTCAATAACCATACAGGACCCAGGTTACACTGCCTACCCTCCACCCCCTGCATTTATTTTTAAGACACTGCCAACTTCTTGTCATTCCTAAGCCCAGAAAACTGAAATCCCAGGAAAGAAAAGGCCAAGCAGCTTTGAAGGAAAAGAGGATGAATAACAGGGAATCATTTTAGGTTGAAAAGAACACTTCCCAAGCTTGTAATTCTAAGGAGAGAAGCTGTGAATGTTTTAACTAGGTCAGTGGGATGAACATGGAACAAGGTTAACTTTAATTCCGTTACATTCTCTACTCCAATGATAAGCAGCATGGAGAGTTCAAAGGTTGTGTAACTTCAAGGTCTGGGCACCAATCAAGTGAGCAAAACACCAATGGAATGTATTTTTCTCTGCATTATATTTTGCTTGTGTGTTCAATTGACAGTTTTTAAAAAACTTTAAAAATTTCATTTTTATTAATTTATTTACATATTTATTTTTAAGGATCTTATTTATTTGAGAGAGAGAGAGTGACAGAGAACACAAGCAGGGGCGGAGGTGGGGGGAAGGGCCAAGGGAGAGGGAGAAGCAGACTCCCTGCCGAGCAGGGAGACACAGGGCTCCATCCTAGGACCCCAGGATCATGAGCCGAAGGCAGGTCCTTAACCGACTAAGCCACTCAGGCGCCCCTAAAGTTTTTTTTATTATTACTTATTTACTTTTAAAGATTTTATTTATTTATTTGAGAGAGAGAGAGAGGAGGAGGAGCAGAGGGAGAAGGACAAGCCGGCTCCACACTGAGCATAGCACCTGATGTGGGGCTCAGTCTCACGACCCTGAGATCAAGACCTGAGCCAAGACCAAGAGTCAGATGCTCAACCGACTGACCCACCCAGGCAGCCCTCAATTAACAATTTTAATGGCAAAACACTATTTGGCTGGAATAACAGTTGCTTTAGTGATTTTATGTCAAAGTTACTTTGAATTCAAGTTTTTGCACTATTACATGGACGGATGCATGACTCAAAGAGAAAATTTTCTTCATTTCTATTCTCTTCAGAATAATAATTTTAAACCAAACTAAAGAAATGTTTTCCTACTCTTAAAACACAGCAACTAATTAGCAGCTATAACAAGTCTTACTCTTCCTGATGGTCTAGCAACTCCCGATCATCTTCCAATTGAACTTCCTCCCACGATTTTCCAAGTTCCTTTTGTGGGAAGAACAGAGAGATTAGGGAAATGGAGGGAGCAGGGGGAAGAGGGGAAAGGAGAGAGAAAATACACACACACACACACAACCCATAAAAAACCCACTCAAAACCACATACTCACTGGTTTTAAATCAATTCAAGTAGCATTTATTAAAAGAGTTATTTCAGTGACAGGGAAGGATGTATCCTAAAATACTCTTAATATGTTTTTCTTCTTGGAGAAGCAGTGATATTCTTTTAATCAAATTCCTTTCTCTTAAATGTAAACCAGTTTATCAACCCTGGACGCACAGTAGAATCTCTTGGGGACCTTTTTAGAAACCTGAAACTATCTCTTGCTGGGGCCTGTGGAACACGCAGCTAGCTGGACTGTTTCTCCCCAAGGCCCCTACAGTCTATTTTTCAAACAGCAACCATAGTGATCTTTCTAAAGGACACTTCCCTGTCTGTATAAACCCTCCCAAGGCTTCTTCCTGCACTTAGAACAAAATCCAGAGGCCTTATCATGGCTTGGAAGATCTGCTCCGGCTCCTTCTCCATCCCTTATGTCCCACCACTTTTTCCCTGGCTCAGTTTGCTCCAGACAGATCAGTGTCTCCGCTGTCCCTTGAAAGCAGAAAGCTCACCTCCACCGGCTACTTCCGGACTTGCTGCAACGTCTGCCTGAGCACTGCTCTCTCACATAACTGTGTGGCTCAGGCATGGGGGGCATCTGCTTAAATGTTACCACCTCTTCTTCTGACTCCTCTGTCTAAAGCAACACCCCTGCTCCCAGTTACTTTTTATTCCCCTATGATGTTTTATTATTTTTTTTAAACATCAATCACTGCCTGAAATCACTTCTGTGTATCTATTTGTTTTCTCATTCGCTATTCATTTTTTCCACCAGAATGTCCATTTCCAGAGCCGGGCATACAGTAAGTACTAGAGAGTATTTTTAAATTGAATTGTAACTGAAAAAGTCTAAAGATTCAAGGCCAATTTGGATCCTACTTCAAAAGGTTTTCGTAAGGTGATTAAATAAATTAGTTCATGTGTAGGCACACCCCACAGATATTGCAGGTTTGGTTCCAGACTACCACTGTAAGGCAAGCCAAATGAATGTTTTGGTTTCCCAGTGCATATAAACGTTATTTTTACATTACACTGCACTCTATTATGTGTGCAAGCATTACGTCTAAAAAAACAATGTATATACCTTAAGTATTGCGAGAATTACCAAAATGTGACTCAGAGGCATGATGTGAGCAAATGCAGTTGAAAAAATGGCGCAGATAGACTTGCTCAACACAGCATTGCCACAATCCTTCAATTTGTAAAAATGTGCGAGGCACAATAAGCAAAGTGCAATAAAACAAGGTATCCCTGTATATAAAGTACACGGTAGCAGGCAATAGTTAAGTGCTCAAATATCGACTTCAATCCCTTTTATCTCTTACAGTTCATGGAGAAGTTGTACCTACTTAGGGCTATGTCTGGCAAATTTAGTCATAGTCTCAGCAAAACTTTATGGAGTAATGAGCAGGAATGATTTCTTTTGGCCTAACCATTTATCTTTTCTATTCTTGAGTCATTTGTTCCTCTTTCTTATCTTTTCTTCCTCCATCCAATTTTCCCACTGTGCCACGCAAAAGCAGACAGTGCACTAAAGAAGGATGTAGGAACAATAATGGACACCTTTCCAAGCAGCTAAACTATGGTTACAGTCAAGCCCAACCTGACCTGCTATAAATATAGACATTCTTGTTTGATATTCCTCTTTTGGAAAAAAATAACTAAAATTTATTCTCAATTTTGAACTTTTTTCTTTTCTCAAAAAAGGTATTCATTTAAGCAAAAACAAAGAACTACAAGGTCCATTATGATTTAGGGAAAAAAGAAAATCTATCATTCATCAACTTAATGAGAGGTTTTGAAGCTGTCATTATCTATCAGCTAAATGATGCATAAACTCAGACACACAGAGATTTACCATAATGTCATTAGAGATAGTTAATTTGAACTCTATAATGTACTTCCAAGAGTTATCATGAAACGTCTGAACCTCATTATGGGCATGAGGAATGGCTTCAACACTGCCAACAGGATCCTTGTTAGTTGGAATTTTTGGTGATGAATTACTACATCTTTCATGGATTACTCGATCTCTCTGGACCTGTACTTTAAGGTCATCGCTGCACGACATTATTCAAAGAAGGGCCATCTGTGTTATTACCATTTTCAATGATATGGACAAATGTTGCTTATCAATAAATGTTTTGGCCAAAGAGACACAGAATAGCTTTCAGTGTCAAACTTCCACACCCAAAGCATTATTTTGCAACTTTCAGTACGCTATTTTGCAAGTATTCAGTATAACGTGTAGGGATTTTCCTAGGCAACAGCACTAACCATTTACCACTTGAGAGGAAAATGGAACTTGGTGTTCGTTAGTGTATTAAGAAACAAGTGGTTTGCATGTGACACTGGCCCAGACTTTCCTAGAATGCTCTGCCTTGTATAGTCAAATATATATGATTTATTATAGGAATAAGAACCCCCCCCAAGAAAAAAAAGACAGAACTCTCTAATTAAGATGCTGTGCCTGGTAATGAATCATGTTAGAAAAGCAAAGATTTCAAGAAAAACAAAGTTTGGAAGGCATGTCAGTAAAGATGTTCAGCACACCCCCTCAACCCCCTACATCAGATGGTTTTTAATCAATGAGAGGGTGGACAAGAAAAACATAAAAAATAAAGCCCCTTCACCTAGCGTCCCCACTGCTCCAACACAGACACTTCTATAGGTACTTACACAAAAAACCCATTATAAACAGAGAAAGAGAAATGTTTTATTTTTTTTCCATGTTTTAATTTAAATTCTAGTTGAGAAGTGTTTTAAATGGGGGCGCCTGGGTGGCTCAGTTGTTAAGCGTCTGCCTTAGGCTCAGGTCATGATCTCAGGGTCCCTGGGATCGAGCCCTGCATCGGGCTCCCTGCTCGGCGGGGACCCTGCTTCTTTCTCTCCCTCTGCTCCTCCCCTTGCCACACCCTCCCCTATCCGTACTCTCTCAAATTGATAAAATCTTTAAAAAAAAAAAAAGTATTCTAAATGTAAATAATTTCATTAGAAAGAACTATACTAAAACTATGAAAAACAGGTTAAGAGCCGGCTTTTGTTACAAATGGCTTTGTATATCTTTAAGAATTAAAAAAAAATAAAAAATGATAAAACCACTGCAAAAATAATTTCCTTTAGGAAAACTCAGGGCTGGAAACATGAATGCCTTAGACTAGGTAGCTGAAGGCTCAGTGATGATGGCAGGGGCATCTGAATGTGCAACTGCCTGGGATTGTCCCCTTGACCATTCTAGTCCGCTATTCACTGAACACTTTTGTTGTGAGAAAACAGAGAACGTGCAGTAGGTAATCTAGACTATGCATAGTGACTTTTTATGTATTTGCAAGTCTGTTATTATTCAAAAACTGATATGAATTATTAAGTACGGAAATTATCTCATCTAAGGAAGAAAAAGGAACGTGTCAATTTGCTGAGCTCAGAAGAGAGTCAAGAACACCCTGTGTCTTAGCCCTCCCACCCTTGATGATGATTAGAGTGCATCTTGCCAGGGATACCCTGGGCGCCGCCATCACTTGCTGCCTGGAGCTTCTGCTCTGACGGAGTTGAGGAACCCCATGGGCACATAGCTGCTACAGGAGAGGGCCACGCATTAACTTGTACACCCCACCCCCAAGCGCTGAAATTATGTGCTTACATGTCTGTCTCTCATACGACCTCTAAACTCTGAGTAGTGACTTATATCAGCCACCTTGTCTGTAATATTTTTCTTCCTGCTCCACGAGTGTCTGGTACTGGAAGGCACTCCAATGTGTGTAGAATGTATGCAGCCAATGGAAGTGCTTCTTCCAGGGAAGAGGATGTGAGACATGGACGTGCAGACCCTGACGACTAATACAACAGTTCTCTCTTTGGCCCCACATTCATCACTCATGTCAGCCTTGTTCCTCAGAGGAATACACAGTGAGTGTCTGTCAGCATTTTTTTTTCTCCTTTTTAAAACTAAAGCAATGTCATTATTCATTGCTTAAGTAAACTTTTAGAAGAATTTATTCTTCATGTTAAATATTTCTGTGAAATATTAAGTATTTTCATTCATGGTGTCTGAAAGGAAATTAAAATGATGCTGAGCAATCTCTGACCCTCATTTTTCTCTAACCATACAGTATTAGTATTTGGAACAGTCTTTTATATACCCCTTCTATATATTATACCTTTTATCCCTACAACAATACTCAGGATGGTATTAAGGTTGATACTTCCGGTAAGCACTTCTCTACGTTAGGACAGTTCTCCATCTTTAGAGACTTTATTAGCTAATTCAATTCTTTTCTAAGGTAATTTTGTATAATTTCCAAAATGCTAAGGCTAATCATAACACATTTTAGGTTCTGTTTTTAAAAATCATTCTTCTTGTTGTGGGCTATTTACCTCAGTGGGAAAGCATACAGGGTTAAGAAGGCTAAGGCTGTAGGTCAGAGCCCTTAACGAGCTTATTAAAAAGTCAGCTTTACTTTGACCTTGACTCACTTTCTAGTTTAGTACAAAAGAGAACAGGCAAGAAGGTGGTGAATAGATCATTACGAATTCATCATTACTTGACCAAAAACCCAACCAAAAAGGTAAGAGGTAGGTACCTTATTTCAACTGAGGAAAAAGTGAAGGAAGCTGATACACAGAGTGGTTAGGTATCCTGTTCTGACTGTGTGACTCTGGGAAAAGATCTGTGCCTACTCTCCAAACCTATAAAATGGGGATAATAAAATCTGTGACATATGGATATGGTTAAGAGTAAATGACTTAATAATATCCAAGAGAGTGCTTGGCATATAGCAAGTGGTGAAATGCTGCTAGTTAAAAGAAAAAATTACTTCTATCAATAATCTCCTAAAATGATTTAATTTTCATTTTATATACTATTAAAGTCTTTATGTTTTCTTGAAACACTGCTCCTAAGCTATGATTCATGCCACATCATATCTGGGCACTCAGTGGGCAATATAACCTAGCATGCCCATCTAGAGACAGCTGGTCCTTGTAGATAATTTCAGTTTTGAAAGACATACTACTTGATGCCCAGACAATAAAGCATCATACTTTTCTAAAGCGCAAGCAGAATCTGAGTGAACAGTCCCTTTGAAGTCTCCTCTAGAAGGTAAATACCTCCAGCTATATATATAATGTTCTGCTAGTCCCAAGCTCTTGAATATTATTTTAAAAGATCCCCAGAAGGAAGTGCTATTAAATTGCTTCCACAGCTTTCTGCACTAGCTGATATTTCTTAGAGCTAACACTGAAGTCCACTCCCCATTGGATTGGGCTGGGCCCTGAAGCAGCATTTGTTCTAGGAATTAATGACAGTGATTTCAAGAGAAGATTGAGGACTCAAAGGGTGCCTTTGCCTTTAGCTAGTTGTAAAACATTTGTAGCAGATCATGGCAACTTCTCAGAGTCAATCTTCAAACACATGTCAAACTTGCTTCTCAAGGGGAATTTTATTTTAACTCTACAAGGATTAGTTAGAACAGGCAAAAATTCCACCCCAGCAAGAGATTTCCAACATTATTTCAGGATATGTTTATTTCTGTCCAATTGATAAAATGGTTGATTATAATCAATTATGCCCTCTGTGGCCATGAGTTTGGATTCTAATTCATTCCTATTGAGAGGAAAAAATAATTTCCATTTGCTTAAGAAAAGTGTCCGAAACAACTCCCTTTCTCCTAATTCAAGTGGAGAGTTACATAACCCTTTTCTTTACACGAGTGGATTATTTCCTTTGTTATATACACCCCTAAATTCAGCAGAGTAGGGCAGGGCCAGTAGAACTCCCAGTCATTGTGTCAGTCAAAATCCCCTCTTCCATTTCTAAATGCCCCCCTAGTGACACTTGCCTCCAACTGAATACCTTCTCTTAACCAAAAAGCTCAGGAAATGGTATTGAGGTTTCTAGGCAAGGAAAACTTTCAATGTATTTAAAATCCTTGACATGATAACACCATTATTATATTTTATTAGTCATACAAACCAAAGTCCTCTTGCGTAGCGAAATGATTGGTTTCTCTAAAATTTCCATCAAAGATAAGCTGGCCAAGGAGGATGGTAAATTTTTTTTGTGGGAAAAGGATTTTTTTAATGGGGAGAGAGGGAAGAGAGAGAGATTTTTTTTTTTTTTTTTGAGGGGGGTGTTTGGGAAGACAGAGGGAGAGAGAGAATCTTAATGAGGCTCCATGCCCAGTGCATGAGCCCGACTTAGGGGCTCAATCTCACAACCCTGAGATCATGACCCAAGCGGAAATCAAGAGTTGAACGCCCAACCCACTGAGCCACGCAGGCGCCCTATGAAGAGATTGTTTTTAAAAAGTTATCTAGCATAAGACACCTAGTACATCTAGATGTCAAAAGATGGTTTTTGAATAGAATATAGAAGTCTCTGGACTCAAGGTAATAGATAATATAACAAATGAGCAAGAGTATGTAGATACTCAAATGCTTTATGTTTATTATTACTTTTTTTTTTTTTGGTCCAGATCACTGCGAATTCTAGAGACATGACATTTTTCTGTGTAAACATCTGGCAAATCATAGACAAACCAAATCAAGTTATGCTTGGTAAGCTAACCATTATGAAGCTAATCACTGCTTGGAAGTGTCCCTCGATTACATTTTGACCTTTATACTAATTGCTTGTTTAAATATTAGACAGCCCTTAGAAAGATTTTTGTTTGTGGAAATGCAATCAAATTTTAAATTATGAAGAGAAAGCCTTACCAAATAATTGATGACATAAAATTGGTCATATTCTCTGTTCTTAGGATTAATCCTCCGATGCTGTTTTTTCCTCATATGGTCTTTCAGTGTATTTTTGTCCCTGAAGGTCTTCTCACAATACAAGCACTGCAAGCTAAAAAAAATACACAAACACTGACAGATTACACAAGTCTCCTGGATAGCTGCTGCAAAAGTCCTTTATTTTTAAGTCTTACAATTATTCATTTTAGTTTACAGAATCTTTAAGTAGGATACGACATCCTTGTCAGAACCTCTCTCACTTCATTCATTCAGCTTTGTGGGATGCATGCTTGGTTTATTTTGTAGTTGGCTACATTGGCCAACTGGGCTATGTAGTCAAACTGTGACAAAGACAGCTAATACCCAAAAATTATTGTGGTGTTTTCTAATCAAATTATCTCTTCTAAAAATGAAAACGTAGTTATGTTCTTCAAATAATTACAATGATAACTAGCAATGGCTGCCTCCATTGAGTACAACAAATTAGTCCATGGTTTGGCATATTCTGTGAGCTGATTTGCAGGGTTTAATGCCTAGTTCCAGTACATACTAGCTGTGAGACTTGGTCAAGTTACTTGCCTTCTCTACTGACATTCATTTTCTAATGAAAATGAACAGATTGCTAACAAAATGTCTTCCTTAACCTAAGTCTGACAGTGGATACTGCCTGTAACTTCTCCTTACCAGTCATTAGAGTTCCACTTTTTGGAGTCACACAGATTATATCTAAGCTCCCTTTTACATGAAAACTCTCAAATGAGTGAAATCAGTTGTTTCAATATTGAATTCTTTTGTCATCACTCCTAAACACCCTTTGAACCATTTCTTGTGCCACAGAAATAATTATATTCTTTTATAGCAAATAATTATGGCATTAAAAAATTGTGCTAATCTTGGGGCGCCTGGGTGGCTCAGTTGTTAAGCATCTGCCTTTGGCTCAAGTCATGGTCCCAGGATCCTGGGATCGAGCTCCGCATCGGGCTCCCTGCTCTGCGGGAAGCCTGCTTTTGTTCCCTCTCTTGCTATCTCTCTGTCAAATAAATAAATAAAAAATCTTAAAAAAAATTATGCTAATCTTGCTAGAAAGCACATCTGTTATGATTTTATAAATGAAGGATCATTTAGTAAGAGTGAAAGGACATTAATGCAGTGTTGATACCAGAATTTGAACTCAGAACTTTTAATATTTCTTTCTTAATGTTATTGTTCTGAATATTGTGGGCTGAGATTTCATTTGGAAAAAAAAAAAGTACAGGGGCACCTGGGTGGCTTAGATGGTTGGGTGTCTGACTCTTGATTTTGGCTCAGGTCATGATCTTGGGGTTGTGGGATCGAGCCCTATGTTGGGCTCCGCACTTACTGTGGAGTCTGCTTGATATTCTCTCTCCCCCTCTCCCTGTTCCTCCCCCCACTCAAGCTCTCTTTCTCTCTCTAAAAATAAATACATAAAATCTTTAAAAACAAAGAAAAAAAACAAAAAAACCTAGGTTTTGAGAGGAAAAAATACTGGGCCCTCTCCTAGAGAAAAATGTGGATAGATTTTTTGAAAGCCATTTTAGTGACCTAGAGAATTTCCTTCCTTATTTTACAAGCTAAGCTCTAGATACCCACTAGATACAGTCACCAGAATATGATCTTAGGAAAAGTGGAGTGTCATGATATATAAATGTGAATAAATACTAAAAGGTAAAAGAAGGCACAGAGTATGTTATGTCTCACATAAAGCTGAATAACATACAACATTTTGACAATATATTTACTAAATATGTGCAAAATTATACTGAAAAATGAATTACCATTACAAAATTAAGAAATGGGGAGATATGAATGAGGAAGGGCACATATGAAAATTCAAGGGAATTAATAATGTTCTATTTCTTTATTAAAAAAAAAGATTTATTTATTTTAAAGAGATAGAGAATCTCAAGTAGACTTGACCCTGAGATCATGACCTCAGCCGAAATCCAGAGCTGGATGCTTAACTGACTAAGCCACCTACGCATCCCTGTTCTATTTCTTAGGCCAGATGTAGAGTATACTCTTCAAACCCTATATAGCATATGTTACATGGTATGTACACTGTTTGGTATATATGATATTCTTTTAAAAAAGCAGTAAAAGGCAATATGATCTAGACAAAAAGAAGACTGTCATGCAAAATGTGAACTCCTCCAACATGAGAAATTAGAAAATTCCATTTTATTAATTACTTCTATTAGATTAATCTTAAAACATTCACAACAGACAATAAAAAAAATTCCCAAGAGTCCAAAATTAAAATAGCTTCAGGTTGTGTTTCATGAAAAAATACTTACTTGTCCAGTTTCTTCTGTAATGTGCATAGAAATTCATTGCAGTTTACAATGTTGTCTGGCAATCCAATGTTGAAAGCATGTTCTCTGGCCATGTGGTTCAAAAGAACAGATCTAGAAAGAAATTTGAATAATTTATATTATATCCAAATTATCTAGTAACAAATCAGGTCAGGAATAGCACATTTATAATGATTACACTAATCAGAAGTACATGCAAAGGTTAAACACTAAAACACACATTTGGGCTCTGAAAGAGTGGTATGTTATATAGTATTTAAGTACACATATAATCACAATAGTTCTTTAAAGTGAGTTAAGTTTGTTCCATTATCTGCCAGTGGACAGGAATATACTCTATAGATGAATTGGGTTTCTGTCCTTTAAACTATTAAACTGTGCTTTGCTTACTTTTCCAATTCATTGTGGGGAGGAGGAAGAGACAACTGCCAAAGGGAAATATGTCCTTCTATATATGTCCTGGGATCACAGACATTTTAGTCAGCTCATGATCAGACACCGACCTGGAACCCACAATTAACAAATCTAAGTATACGTAAGGGTTACCATAAACTGAATACACCATGACCAGTCTGTTGATTAGTTCATGCTGAAAAGGAAAATTTTCATTTATCTAAGTTTTACATAGCAAAAATGCCTATGTGTAAAATATATTATTCTACTGGGTCTTTATCACAACTTTATTTTTTTTTTAAGTTTATTTATCTATTTAAGTAATCTCTACACCTAACATGGGGCTTGAACTCAGGACCCTGAGATCAAGAGTTGCATGATCCTCGGACTGAGCCAGCCAGGCACCCTCTTTATCACAACTTTAGTTCATACAATGAAGGTGACAGTTTTGGGGAATTCATTAGTACACAAACCACTGATAGACTATACACAGTGACACATTATACAATTTATCTAGCTTATTTAGGACACTAAGCTGGCCTCCAAATCACTGTTTTTTAGGGTTATTATTTTTTTCCTTTAGAAAATAAAATAAAGCAACCATCCCTATGAAAATGTTGATTTTTTTTTAACTATGTAGGAATCCCATTCATTAATCTCATAGTTAAAACGCTCTTTTGGCTAACCACTTAACTATTACTGATAACTTTGAATAAAACTAGTGTTTCATAGAGTATTTCAGTGCCTTTTGGCACAGATTTTTCTCTATGCCAACTGCCCTACAGAAGAATCAAATCTTCATTAGCGGTGTTTTGAATATCAGTGCTGCAACCAAACCATTTTCTAAATTCAAATTAGTACTTTATCTGTAGCTACCCTCTCCTCAATGTTTTTCAGGTAATAATGTCAGTTACTGTGCCAGGCTCTTTTGTTTTTTAATACTGTAGACCGCCTTCTTTGAAATGGGTAGAAAATGATAGTCTGACTGTCCACTCTTTTTTTTTTTTTTTAAAGATTTTATTTATTTGACAGAGAGAGACACAGCAGGAGAGGGAACACAAGCAGGGGGAGTGGGAGAGGGAGAAGCAGGCTTCCCGCGGGGAGCCGGATTCGGGGCTCGATCCCAGGACCCTGGGACCATGACCTGAGCTGAAGGCAGACGCCCAATGACTGAGCCACCCAGGCGCCCCTCTGACTGTCCACTCTCATGTTGCCACTGAACTATTCCCAGTTACTAGAGGTTACAACTTCATGACTTGTATTTAAGTCATGTTCATTTGTAAATATCAAATGCTGTATAATGAGAAATCTGTCTGGTCTTTGTCCTTGATTCCTGGCACAGAGCTTCTAAAATCCTTGGAATTTCTCCATGATAGGATTATCTTTGTTATGCTGACAAGGCGACTAGCCCTTAGCTAGTTTCAGAATGGGGGTTAGTCAAGGAAAAGACTAACCACAGGATTAGGAAGGTAGAGATTTTGAGCTAGCCTGACCTCCAGAAAGGGGAGGGATCTGGAGATTAAGTTCAATGATTGAATCAATCATGCTAATGTGATGAAGCCTTATTAAAAATTCTGGAAATCAAAGCTGAGTGAAGATTCCAGGCTGGTGAATACCTTGATGTGCTGGGTGGGTGATATGTCCTGATTCTTTGGGGGAAAGGGCACAGAAGCTCTGAGTTCAGGAACCTCCTAAAACTTGCCCTATGCATCTCTTCATTTGGCTGCTGCTGATCTCTTCACTTGGCTGTTCCTTTATAACAAAACTGCAGTCCTAAGCATACCACTTTCCGGAGTTTTGTGAGTCATTCTGTAAATTACTGAAGGATACAAATTACTGGTGAGAATCCTCGAATTTTTAGTCAGGTGGTCAACTGACCTTGTGGCTGATATCTAAAATGGAAGCAGTCTTGTTGGGGATGATGCCCTTTAACCTGCAGAGCCTGATGCTAACTCTGGGCGACTAGTTTTAGAACCGAATTATAGTATGCCACTTGGTTTTGGACCCAGTTGGGAGTGGTAAAGAATTATCAATACCCCAGTTTTTTTTTTTTAATCTTTGTTAACTTTATTTTTAAAAGATTTTTATTTTTTATATATAAAAATAAATAAAAGATTTTTATTTTTATTTGTCAGAGACAGAGAGAGAGAGAGAGAGAGAGAGGTAGGCAGAGGTAGAAGCAGGCTCCCAGCTGAGCAGGGAGCCTGATGTGGGACTTGATCCCAGGACCCTGAGATCATGACCTGAACCGAAGGCAGATGCTTAGCCGACTGAGCCACCCAGGCATCCCTAATCTTTATTAGTTTTAATATTCAAATGTGAAACATCAAAAACTGCTAAAGGTTGAGTTAACAATATAGAAAGGTGTGTCTGTAGTAGTTTGTTGTACATGGTCTTGCCTGTCAGCCAATTGAAAAAGTCCTATGACATTAAACACAAATTTATTTTTGGCATTTAAGAAAAAAGAGAGGCAAACCAAGAAACCAACTCTGAACTACATAGAACACATTGATGGTTGCTGGAGAGGAGGTGGGGGGATGGGTTAAATAGGTGACTGGGATTAAAGAGGGCACTTGTAGTGATGAGCCCCAGGTATTGGGGTTAGTGTTGTATGTAAGTGATGAATCACTAAGTTCTACACCTGAAACTAATATTACACTGTAAGTTCACAACTGGAAGTTAAATAAAAACTTGGAAAAAAATAAAAGAAAAAAAGAAAAAATTATTCCCCTCTTCTGCTTAGAGCAACTACAGTCCATCTTTGATGTTAGGCATATTAAAAAAATTATTGCTGATATATGAAAGGGTCCTGAGCTAATCCACAGAACTTAATTTATATAACCATTATGAATGTTTTGATGTTTTCAGATGAAAAACAATAATATTCAAAGACGTGCATAAAGGCAAACCTGTTCCCGAGAAATTCCTCATTGCAAAACATACAAATACCATGAAAATTGTTATCATTTCTTTCTTGCTGCTGTTGTTCCAGAATTTCTTTCTGTAAAGTAGAAACAGATATTTGAGATTATTTTTTTTAAAGATTTTATTTATTTATTTGACAGAGACAAAGAGGGAGAGAGAAAGTGCACAAGCAGGGGGAATGGAAGGCAGAGGGAGAGAGAGAAGCAGGCTCTCTGCTGAGCAGGGAGCCTGACAGGGGGCTCAAACCCAGGACCCTGGGATCGTGACCTGAGCTGAAGGCAGACGCTTAACCGACTGAGCCACCCAAGCACCCCTGATATTATCTCTAATAAATCCACAGTTAGCTAATGAAATATGTTATAGTCTGAATGGAGGAATCTGGGAAGAAGCACAAAGGGAATATATGAATACTGACACTATTTCAAATTTCTCCATTTCTGTCCTTGTATCAAAACTGCAAGTCTATACTGTTTTTTAAAAAAGTATTTTATTTATTTGAAAGAGAGAGACACAGCAAGAGGGGGAACACAAGTAGGGGGAATAGGAGAGGGAGAAACAGACTTCCCGAGGAGCAGGGAGCCCGATGCGGGGCTCGATCCCAGGACCCTGGGATCATGACCTGAGCCGAAGGCAGACGCTTAACGACACAACCATCCAGGTGCCCCAAGTCTATACTGCAAATGCTGATAGAACACTCCATTTGGATAGCTATGCAGGAAACTCAAATGGGTCTCATCATCCTTCCCTACTCCTGTTTTAATTACTCAACTCCCATTCTCTCCCTCTTTTCCAAACAAAAATGTGGTGGGCTTTATGATTTGCTCCTTTTGGTACTTCTCAGTTTAGTCTGCAGTCAAGTTCTGACAAATTTTTCACTTGAACTATCTTTTATATTACTTTTCTCCACCATTCCCAATGCCATCACCCTGAGTCCAGTTTTTAATCAGTCATGGGATTACTATAAATAAGTCTCCTAGAGGGTCTCCAGGATCTCAGTCCTTTTTTCATCATATCCATCCTTCTTTTTGCTCTGAGGCAAACTTCCTTAAACATTGTTTTCCTCCTACACTATTATCTTGTTATTCTTCACCTCAAATAATTTTTTAAAAAGATTTTATTTATTCATGAGAGACAGAGAGAGAGAGGGAGGCAGAGGTAGAAGGAGCCTCCCCATGGAGCAGGGAGCCCGACAAGGAACTCGATCCCAGGACCCCGGGATCATGACCTGAGCTGAAGGCAGAAGCTTAACTCACTGAGCCACCCAGGCGCCCCCAACTCAAGTAATTTTAAATACGCTTTGGTAACATTTGCTCCAATCAAATGTGGTTCTACACACCCTGGTGATTCTACACACCATCATTCCTTGAGGTCATTTTATTTCTCTTTGCTTTCTGCCTGTTAACAAATCTTAATCTGTAACTTAAGACCATTTCTATCAAAATTTCCATTTCTAGACTACTGTATAAGAGTTATGAGCTCTGGCTCTGAAACACTGAGTAGACTTGGATTTGAACTCTGGCCCTCAGTGGTACTCAATATTTTATCTAACTTTTTCAATCATCAGTTTTCTCATTTTTAAGACGAAAATGGAAACATTATCTCACAGAATTGTTTATAGGATTACATCAGATAATTTATGTAAAGAGTTCAAATTGTGCATGGGTCATTAAATATTGGATATTATTGTTATCCTGCCAATGTCAATTTCCACTGTTTATTACCATCATCTCTTTGTTAACTGTTTGCCTGCCTTGTCTTCTGAAGGGATATGAAAACTCTTTGGAGTTAAAATTAAGTCTTTATGCTGTTCTTAGAATGGCATACTACTCTCCAGCTTCTCTTACAACATGGAGCTCAAAATAGGAACTTTAAAAAGTTTATTGCTGGGGCGCCTGGGTGGCTCAGTCGGTTAAGCGGCTGCCTTCAGCTCAGGTCATGATCCCAGGGTCCTGGGATCGAGCCCCGCATCGGGCTTTCTGTTCAGTGGGGAGCCTGCTTCTCCCTCTCCCTCTGCCTGCTGCTTCCCCTGCTTGTGCTCTTTCTCTCTCGGTCAAATAAATAAAATCTTAAAAAAAAAATTAAAATAAGAAGTTTATTGATGATTCTGTGAATACTTATAGAATAGCATAAAAAAATGAGCTAAAATCTAGAAGCTTAATAAATTCCTTGTGGCATTTCTGGAAATGTATCACCAAACATCTAGAAATACTAATCCACTTGAAGAAAAAAAATTAAGAAGTTACCGTGATAAAAATCAATTCAAGGAACTGGTTTCAGCCACGATGGAATAATGGATATCACACTTACCCTCCCCCTGTAAACTACTATAAAATACCTTGCTTCATCTATTTTATCTGTTTTCAGACATTGGATAATAGTGCAGGGTTGTGATCCATGAAAGAATAAAATAATACACTGCCAGTTTTCTGCTGGGTGGTATTTTCCAAATTACAACATAGGGAAGTGAAAACCAAATGAGGTGTAGCTATCTCACTGGTTGGAGGAAAGAAAAAAAAAAGACTGGAGTTCAGGATACTAAAGCGAGTGCACTTTGTAGGACAAGGTACTAGAGAGAAGAGAGCTGAAGAGAGGGAGCTCAAGAAACCTGTACTGGGATTCTTTTGATCTTTGTCCAAATACTGAGCTGTACATGTACAAAGAAGGAAGCATGAGTTCTGATGGAGGAATTTCCAGGGGCTGTGAAGCTTAATGGAGATCCCAGAGTATTATAGCACTGGAATATGTTGGAGTTCTGACATGCAGAAAGAAAAGATCTTGCTCAACACTTCAGGCATACAGCAAATACAAAAGAAACTCTTTAAATTTACATGCTGGTAGCAAGTGGATAGATAAAAGAGAAATAAAGGAGCTAAGGTAGATGTACCAGACCATTTTAATTACTACTTTTTGAGTTTAAGTGAACCTTATATCAAAACTGAAATGGATAGGAGAGTCAAATAAAAGAAGTATTGTTAAAGGAAACTGAACTTTTATAAACATGCCTGGTTTGACTAAAAAAAAAAAAAGAAAAGAAAAGAAAACACATTTCAGAGCTCTATATCAATAACTTTGTTAGCAGCAAAAACAAAAACCCAGCAAATAAACCCTATCACTACTGGTGCAGTAAGGCCAAGGCCGAGCCCATACTTTCTCTGCCTTTTCCTGTTTTCAGTCCACAAGACTCAGTGCTCATTAAAAGTCACCATTCTGGCTCATATTTCTCAAGCTTGTGATGATATAACCTAATTTGCTAAAGAAAAATCTTACTCAACTTAGTATCTCCTTGCTTTTGGCTCAGCACAAACACAAAAGATTTGTGAGTCTAAACCAGAGGGATGCTAAGCCATTTAAGGTTTTCTTTGGCCAAATTAAAGTTTTATCAACTGACCTTGAATTGTACAACCCGAATGTAAACATTAGAAGTGACAGAAATTGATTTTTCTTAGGAGAGCCTAATTTACACTCTGGTATATTTAGGTGGCATGGGATGGACAGGACAATAAGAAAAATCACTTTAATGGCAAGTACCTGAAACCAGGCTGCTCTGTTCTGGAGCCTCTCTCATATGGTGATGGCAGGTACCAAGGACTCTCAGCTAGTTTACCTGCACAACCGACAACCACGATAAGAGAGACAAAGATTCTGGAGTGCCCTTGTCATCCCTGATCTTGCAGGCCCCATACAACTCCTTTAATTTTTACCCAAGTTCATTCCACTAAGATCTGCCTTTTGTCCATGGCAAAATGTCTTTTTAAACTCCTTTCCAGACCTTCCTTGAGGGGGAGCTACTTTTAAACCATTTGTTGCTCCACCTCTGCTCTCTATTTCATTTGCATAAGACTTCTCTCATTTTCATAAACAAGTCCAGGAAGAATTTCATAATTAGGAAAAATGAACACAAGGACTAGCTTTATTTGGATTCTCTGCTCTTCCTGGACTTGATAATATTAAAATAAGAGAAGTCTTATGTAAATGAAATAAGCAGAAAGCAGAGGTCAATCAAGAAAAAATAGTTTTCCTTTTCTTTCTTTCCTTTTTCTTTTGTAAAGCTTGGTATCTGATTAGTTCTAGCACATATTTTACCTCACTTTCAAACAAAAAAGTATAATATTAACAGATAATCCACAGAAAGCATCACAAAGATGTGTAAATCAAAGCCTACCAGCTTTGTGGTTTTATTTTTCTAAAAAAAAAAAAAATTCATGCTGGGTAGACATACTAGATTTTATTCATGGATTTATAGAATAGTAGGATGAAGAGAAAGTCACAGATGTTATATGTTTGAACTTCTCAAACTTATCTGATGAAGTAAGAATAAAATTTTCATTACAAAATAGGCTTGGATAAAAACCACAGTTGTAAGAATACAAGATCAGCTTCTGTATTAGGCAACGAGTCATAATAACAAGCTGTATTTTTGTCTAATTGGTTTAAAATGTCAAGAATGGCAGCAAAGGGGTCAGTGCAGAGTCTTTCATCTTTATTCATAAGCCGAAGGCAGAGGAAACATTAATGAAACAGCAGATAGAGCAGATGGCATTCAACAGTCATAAGGGATTGACATATATAGGTAGAAAATGAAAATGTGAGTTAGGCTGAAAATTATAAAAATCAGCAATTTAGGAAAAAGCAATTTAGAAAAATCTCAATTTAGTTAAGTATTTGTATACAGGAAAGCAGAAACTGATGCTTATCCAATGGAGATAGCTTGTGTAATGTCATGAAGGAAAACTAAGGCTAATGTTATTAATTATAGATACCAAAAACGTTCTCTAGATACTGACATTTCAGATTCACAACAGACTTTCTAGCTGAATGGCTGTATGAGTGACTGTGAGAGCAAACAGCACACCCCAAAGGTTCTCTCCCGATCTAGCCCACAGGCAGCACAGTAGAACCCAGGTAAGCATTCTCAGGTTAGAAGCCCGGCTGAGCTCCTTCAACAGAGAACACAAAAAATGTCCCTACTAAAGTCAGAGCGGTGGCCCAGAACCTCCAAAGGAAGGCAGCAGGATCTCCTAGGCCTCCTGCTTTCTACTTTCAGAACCATGGATTATTGCTGAGGTCTTTGGGATT